GCCATAAGAACATCATTCCTTCCTCTTCCATCAGTCAAATTGCTACCTTAACAGCCCTTAATTCCAGGTAAAACTCCATAGTTATTCAAACGAAGCAAATAGTGTTATTTCTGTCACGATCGCAAACCCCTCCTCTTAAGGACAGTCCAGCCCTTGTTCTTGTCCTTGTTCAGTATTCATTCCCTGCACCTGCCTCTGGTTCCTGCCCCCCGTCCTATAAAAGCCGGGCCCTCACTCTTTTCCGGGCTCTGGAAGCGCCTGGTCCCGTCAAGGTTTTAGTTTCTGTTTCTGTTCCTGTTCCCGTTCCTGTGCCGGTCCCGACCCAGTTCTTGTTTTAATCTCGTCTTTCTTGGATGGATCGCCTGGCTTTGGACTTTTGCCCCCTTTTGGACTCGGCTCTGGATTGTTTGCCTCGGTCTCGCCTCCCCCCAACACCAGCGCACCGTGGACACGCCCCTGTTCTCATTCTAGACTCCCGCATGCCTTATTCCCCGTGTTTTCCTCACTCTACCCCGGATCGTGTCGTCTGCATAGGGTCCGGAAAGAACGCTTTTGTGACAATTTCTCTTTCTACCTAATGCATAGTGCAAATAATTGAACAGAGGAATCACTCAGGTGTGAGAGTCCTGGGCTGGTGTAGCGATCTTCTGTCTTTCACGATGTGGGGTGTCACACAGAGATCTGGTTTCCTTATTTCCCAGGACTAGTCAGGCTACAGTACATTTAGTCATTCTGACTCCAGCCAGATAATACTTATTGCTCGGGAGGGGCATAGCAAATCCATTTATTCTAATTTTGAAATCATGTGCAATTTAGTCATTTTAACTTGACTGAAATAATGTTGTGTGCTTTATTAAATATAAAAAATAAACTCAATATCATTTTATGCCAGGAAAACAATCCTACTCAATCAATAAACTTATCTGCTCACTATTTAAAAAAGTATTGTGTCTGTTCCCAAAAAACTACTCAAATTAAAGGTAGACTGTTAAGTTTGCATTGGGCATCAGTATATAATCATCTACAGGACTTCAAAGAATAAAACTATATAATGAAAAGGAAGCTTATTTGTTTTGTAATTTCATAAGTTAAATTTATGATCAGTTCATAGAGAGGAAGAAACCACAAAAGAAAATATTTTCTAGCTCATAAATGCTTTAAAGGAAACAAATTAAAATATGGAGGAGTTGTTTTAGACAAACTACAAAATCTGAGCCTGCTTAAAATTTATAGGTGGTTCAGTATTTTTTCAGATTAGTTTGACATTCCCAGTGATGGCTCTCCGTCATCTGTACAACATGTGAACTTCTGTTGGAGTCCAAGGGCCACTTACAGTATCTAATTACATTTTATGACTCTAAGACTAGACTGTCAGGTAATTAAAAATTTAAAAACAGTAAAAAACATTATAGGGGCCATAGACCTAAGGCTAATGTTGAACAGTGAATTTTTATCTAATGGGGTCTTAAGACAGCACGATTTTACCACAACTACTCTTTTGAAAGTCAATCAAATCGTTACTTAACTTCACTCAAACATATTACACAGCTCTGACAACAGTGCTGACAGTTGGTATTGGGAAGAACTTGCAAGAAATATTGTTTATGACAATGGGTATCGGCAAAGGGTTTGTTGCTGTACAGTGTGTGATTGAAATAAAGAATTATGGTTTTAATATATAAATGTACTCCACAAAACCTACTAGTTGCAATTCAAAGATGCAGTCAACACATTGAAATATGTATCATTGTATCCCGTTATCTCTAACTAACGATGAACTGATGGAGATGTCAATAAATGTAGATGGACTATGGCCTAGAATTCAGCCACAAAGAATGCACTGGTTAAAACATTAGTGTTAGTTCTTCATTTAGGAATAGGCACACCAAGAATCACTGGGAGCATAACACACACATGTCAAGAAAACTGCCCAAAGGCTGCTGTCACTCACACTTGAGAAGTGGAAGCTTAATTGACTAAGAACAACTCAGAAAGGGAGAATTAGTTAGAAAGCAGTCAATGTGTGCTCAGGCCCTGCCCAACATCAGTGCGAATATCTTCCATCTAATGTTCTGATGAGCACGGCTTGCTCCAAGCTCTAAATCTATATTCAGTGAATGTAATGAGCTAAGTCATCTGATATCAAATGTAAATACATTACAATCGCCATCACTCAGCCACAATGTGCGATTCTTCGTTTATTCAGATCAAATATGTCACACCCGAGGCACAAAGCAGAAAGATTGCATTGTCACTGCTGCGACTCCAAGCCTGATAGTATTATTTTCGGAAATAGTTACACTCCAAAATGTAAACCTCTAAAGGTCATTCCGTCATGGTTGTGGCTGTACTACTGTACATCTTTGGAAATTTTTTTGTCCGCGGGGATTTAGATTTCATTTCTGACGGCGCTCATGGTGCCGGACGACCCTGCCGGGGTGACATCAGTTCGCTGGGCCTCTCAGGAGCGCGCAGACACCCCTGCCAGGGGAGCAGGCTTTTGGCTTAGAGCGTCTGGCACTCCTTTAGGCTGTGCAGCTTGGGCTGCTGGAGGTTTGCCTGCAACAGTGGTTTGAGTCTGGGGTGCAGCTGCAAAGGCTATACAGTACATGCAATAGTCTTTATTTTGTGTTTTGTTTTTTTCTTTCCTAGCGTGTGCATGAATAACATATGTTTCAAGTTTGAAGGTCAAATAGAAGTTTGCCGGAAAAAATTATGTTTTGGGATTGAAAGCAGAGAGTGTACTGTACTTGGGGCCTGTGTTCTGGGATTTTGTCCTTTTTGTGCTGTATTTAACACAGGAGTTTTAACGCGTGTTTCTGTGCAGTGCCTAAGCTGCTCAAGTTAAAATATTGGGTTTTATTTGGATTAAGTTACCAACTGCAATGCTGTCCTCCTGTGTTAGCAGATTCATATACTTGTGATTTTCCACAAGGTGACAAGAGAGTTATTCATCGATGAGAGAGGGGAAGCATTTTTTGACTTGCCAGCTGGGTTTTATTTAATAGATTCGGAATAATCCATTGCCGATCAACTCACTGTCCCGATTCCTACACCTGCCTGGGCCGGATCACAACCACTCTCACCAGCCTCCAAAACATGCAGCCAACGTGTGGACACTTCCCAAGGCTCATGAAGCCCAGCAGGATCGCCGAGAGCCCCACGGTGCTGTGCGCCCTTGCTCTAACCCTGCCGGGACACGCAGTGCTCAGCCAGCTGTGGTCTTTTATTTGTGCTGCATTTCAAATGCACCAGTCAAGCACGTCCAGCTCTATCAGGGTTCAGCGAGCTCTGTCTTAGCTTGCTGTGCTTACATTATACTATAACATACTCATATATTATAGCAAAAATGATACATTATAATATATCTTATATATCATATAAAAGGGTCCTGTCCTTCGGATGAGACCTAAAACTGAGGTCCTGACTCTTTTTGGTCATTAAAAATCCCAGGATGTTTCTTGAAAATGGTAGGGGTGTAACCCCGCCATCCTGGGCAAATTTCCCATTGGCCCTTACCGATCATGGCCTCCTAATAATCCCCCTCTCTGAACTGGCTTCATCGACTATGTTCTCCTCCCCACTGAGAGCTGGTGTGTGTTGAGTGTACTGGCGCACTATCCAGGTGGGGCTGCACATTTGTGGTGGTGGAGGGGATCCCCATTACCTGTAACGCGAGTCTCCAGAAAAGCGCTATATAATAACCTTATATTACACATCCCAATCCTAGCTGGTTAATGACAATGTCTGCATAAGGTTCAACCTGGATTTGAAAGAGCACAACTACTGGTTGAACTACCCAAGGGGAACCAGGTACACAGTTTTAATTTTAGGGTTCTGTGCGCTAGAGGTGGTTTTGTCAGTCGCAATATTTCACTTTCTATTCAAACAATACGTAGGGAGTCGACGATCAGACTGCTGCGTTGTTTGATGTGGCGGGATCTGAGCTCTTTGTTTACTGCCTCTAAAGTCAGGTGAGAAAAACAAGAGAACCCTGACACTGACTCTGATGAAAACCTATCAAATGCCAGATTCATTTCATAATTGCATGTCCAGATATTCTGCACTGTAGTTCGTAATGTAATTTGAAGTCCCAGGTGTTTTGAAGAAGTCTTTATACCACACACTGTGTTCATATCAACATTTGTTAAGTTATAGTGTCAATGTGTGTTAAAGTTTTTTAAGGAACAAAGGGGCTGGTGTATGGAAACGTGGGAAGAAAAGTTTCAAATGTGAGGTTATAAATTAGGTTGTTTGCCCCCATCTTGCACTTGTGTGAATACAGACAGTTTAGAAAGCAAAATGCTTAGAAAGGCATTACTGGTAATTGTTTTGTGCAGACATATTTTTTATTCCTCCGCCTTTAATGTATGATCCTGTTACTTGTTGTTTATTCCTGGTAAGGATCTTGGCAGCTAACCCCGAGAGTGGGGTTACACCCTGGATGCGACGGCAATCTCACCATGCCCAACCAGCACCTCCCTGGAAGGGAATCGGATCACCTGCAGACGTCCCACAAGAGAGAGGCGGGAGAACTCCTGACAGCAGACACCCCAATCCAGAACTGAACCCCGTACCCCAGAGCCAAGAGGCAGCAGTGTAAAAACGTGTGATGATTTTGGATCCCTGATGAGTGAGTGATACACTTGGAACATCTGCGGCCACTGTAGGAAACCACTGGCCTTAAGTAAACACCTCCACTTCTTCTTGCAAAAGCTCAAAGTAATTATATGGAAAACGTCTGGAAACTCTGTACCATCGTCTCATAGTATTTTGAGCACAATTGTGCATTCATTTTCTATGTAAAAAAAATCTCCCAAAATATCTATAATATAACTATACAACTCCTGGAAATGCATCTTCTATCACTTTGAAATTGAGAAAAAAAACAGCTTTTTATTAAAGATTTTAGTCATGGTTAATGCTGCCTGAATAAAACTAATTATCCATGCTTTGCTGGAAACTCAGTAATGAATAGATAACAAGCATGAGCACTGTATTGAGGGCGGATGTGCACAAGATAACAACTTGATAGTACATTTCCTGTTACTTTATTCTTTCATAAATACCTCCTGGTCAAGGACTGGCAACAACGAAGCTCATTTTATAGTTTTGTTACACTCCTACCTAGCCAAAAACCACTGCGCCGCCAAAGTCAAAACCGTTATTTCTGACATAAAGCAGTCAAGCGGTTTTGTTAATTGTAATCATGAGATCGTTAAGAATAATGTCATATTAATTGTGTTTTAGGTAATCCCTTTTTACGCATTTGGTCATGTCAGAACCAGAACGAACTCTTGTGTTCCACCCAGTCATTTCAAGCGAACACGGGCACTTGGGGATATATTCATTTTAAAACTTTGTCAGAGAATAAAAGTCATGAATTGTTGGATTATCCTCTATATCCTAAAGGTGGGCTAACAAGGCAACCTGCTGCTCGACTCTTGTAGTAGGTCTGCCCTCTGCATTGAAAACCGTTCAGTAATAAAGATCTCTCGATTGATTCACAATACCGCCAGTAACAACAATATACAGACCTCCAGTCTCTGCAATACAAACGCGCATAAAAATGGCACAGATTCTTAGGGGCGCTCAAGCACAGCGCACTTGCTTCGGAGGACCGTACGAGCGTCAAGCACCGACTCCCCCCTGCCTTTGAAGTCCAATCCCCGCAGGAGGCGTCCAGATTCCGATTTCAGTTGTGGAAATCTCTCATCAATTTGATGGGAAGCCCCATCCCCACGCCTCCGTCCCTCCTCTGAATTCCTGCGCGGCTTCTGGGGGACGCGCGTCTGAGCCGAGGCGGGTCACAAAACCGAGCGACCCGCTTTGGAACCGCGCGCGAAGACGGCTCCGGTGCTCAGGAATGCGCTTCCATGTCGTCCCAGCCGTCAGCTTTCTTGTGGAAATTCTGCAGAAAGAGAATTCGTTTCGCAGCGCAGAGCATTATAATCCACCCTCCTTTGATGGTTTGAAGAAGAAGGGAGCGGGGGGGGAGACAACTGCGTATTCTGCGGGAATACAAATCATATTTAGACCTCGAAACGGCTAACTCCTGTTATTTCTGCTTCTCCTTTTAAGCAGTAATTTTGGATACAAACTAGGCACTGCCGAAGGAATGGGTGGGAGATGAACGACTCTGAAACCTCGCGAAAGCTAATATTGGGGAGAATAAGAATGTGGTGTCACGCATTTTCATGAAATTTACATTCTCCGCATAGACTCAGAGGGCAGCTTCGTCTCCCGTCTTTGAAGTCCGGCAAGTGTTTCACCTTGTCCCATTGATCAATAGGATTGATTACACATTAACTGAAGGAAGCCGAAATAAGAAAAAAAAACGCAGCGGGGAAAGTTCTGTTTGAAACTCCGGGAACCGGAAAGAATCCGAAACAAAAATGTTATTTTATATCGTCAGCACCATCCATACATATGTTTTGCTACTTGTCATTTTTGGTAAGTAGCGTGTTTACACGTACTTTAAGCTAAAATTGTACAGACTTTGTAAAACAAAAATCGGAAAACATCAAGAAAACGATCACTCATGGGTCCGCTTCCGAACAGCAGTTATTCGGGTGTATGTATTGGTTTATGTAGCACACGCAGAATTGCCGAGATTTCGGTCAGAAACATTATAGATACAGTATGTTTTCTTCATTAGTTTAATGTGTGTTCCCTGCGACTCTTTTGTCCTGCTCTCCCTGTGTGATCTGTCACAGCCGTTTTTTAAAAAAATAAGGTTACATCGATGTGACTGAGACTCAACCCCAAGGTGCGACAACGGCCGGGAATTGTATTTTATGGTCGCGGCGAGTCTGTTTCATTCACATCAAGGGCACCGGGATTCACCATCACTTCTTGCTATTCATTTTAATTACTCTTATATAGTGACGATAAGAGGTTAGACAGCTACAGTGGTGTGAAAAAGTGTTTGCCCCCTTCCTGATTTCTTATTTTGTTGCATGTTTGTCACACTGAAATGTTTCAGATCATCAAACAAATTAAAATATTAGACAAAGATAACACTGCAGTTTTTAAATGAAGGTTTTTATTATTAAGGGGAAAAAAATCCAACCTACATGGCCCTGTGTGAAAAAGTGATTGCCAATTTCTCTTTCAATTTCTCTAGCCACACCCAGGCCTGATTACTGCCACACCTGTTCTCAATCAAGAAATCACTTAAATAGGACCTGCCTGACAAAGTGAACCAAAAGACCAAAAGATCCTCAAAAGCTAGACATCATGCTGCGATCCAAAGAAATTCAGGAACAAATGAGAAACAGAGTAATTGAGACTTATCAGTCTGGA